TCTAGAAAGCATTAGAAGTGAAAATTGGTCTCTGTTTGTGTAATTTGTGCCGATTTCCAGGCTAGAGTTTGGCGTAGCCAGGGTGTCGGGCGCTGTCGGCGCATGTTGTTGTGTGGTAGTGAAATGTGTCGGACACTGTTGTAGGTAATTCGGTATGCATAGGAAGGGGGGGTGGGCTGGGGCCAAAAGGTTTGCGATCGGGAAGCAGTGAGGAGGTCATGAATCTGTAGTTATTTAACATGAATAAAGTGTATGTTGGTGTAGCAAGGAGTAACAGGTATGCGTAGGTTGTTTTTAATTTTAAGTAGTTCGGTTTTTTTCGAGTGCGTTTATTGAGGCCGGCTCCTATACGCGTTCTTACTGGTTGTCACCACTCTCGAGTGCCGTGATCTATCCTTCTCCTGTCGGAATCATCTGCTGCTGTGTCAGCCGGCGGCGGCAGCGCCCCTTATGCGTGCCGAAGCTAGTCGGCGTGCTCTAGCTCGATGGTGGGCTAGCGTCCGCACCACGCTGACGATGCGACATACCAGGGCCTGCTGCGTAAATGCCTCCGCGCTGTGCGGCGGGCGGACAACGGACAGTCGATCAGTGTGGACGATGTCTACGAGGCATACTCAATGTGCATTCAGAGCAGAGAGCGTCGATCTTCGACTCCAACTCCCGAGCTTCTCAAACGAAGTCGCTTTGAGGAAGGCCATAATTATGGATAGCGATCCTCATTACTCATTCGAATGGGTTGGGGGATAAATATAGTCTCTCGTTGATAATGTTAATGCGTCGGTATTGGGGTTTTTTATCTAAAAGCTATGGCGTCAATTCTCTCGGCGGAACCTCATGTTTAGTGCTTTATCTAGACGTGATATAGGCTATGACGCTATAACTCTGTGATTTATTCATGAAAATTAATTGCTACTGGCACATAAAGTACTAATTTTAAATGTAAGAATACAGAATGGAAATCATTGGTACTTTATCGGCGAGAATTACCCTTTACTGTGTATATAAAGCCGCTTGGATAAAAATTAATGTGGAAACCACCAATAGAGGGCGCGGCATAGGCTGTAGTTATAAATGAGAATGATTAAAACAATAAATCGCCCTAAACCCCAACCCGAAATTCTAATAATGAAAAAAATCTTAGCCAAAAATAATACAAATAAATAAGAGACAAAATTAGCCAATCGAGAAGCTGTCCCCTTAGCGCGATTTTCCCCGGGCTTTATCTCTCCCTTGTGCAAAATTTTAGTGTGCGTGGTGCGTCGTTGTGGCGTGTAAAATGGATCGTAAAATTACATGATCTATAGTTGATTTTCGTGTTGAGCAGATCAGATTATGTGATCCTGTGCAGATGAATTCGCCTCCCGACAAACAGGTCAAAAAACGAACAAACAGACAATATTTTTAGACAGTTTCAGTCAGGGGGATTTGTACCGAAGTATTATCATACGCATTTGTAGTACTTCGAAAGCAGGACGCCAAATATCTCAAGATTTGAGTTGGTTATATTACGTACATATTACACAGGATGACTGGTTTCAGCTAATCTTTTATTCATAAAAAAACAATCGTTATCGCGACACGCACACGACATATTTTACGGTTGTAAATCGTATATTAAGTTTTTGCACTTTAATTGCCTATCCCGGTATGTTATGATCGTTTCGAAGGAGTTTTTCTCGCCTTGGACATTGCAGTATTCGCGAAAATGAAAGTTGAAATTTGGAGGCTTATTCAGGATTTCGTGCCTCATCTTTAGATCGCACTCAAAGTTTTCAAAGGTGGAATGGGGCGGGAGTGCGTTGAAGCCGGGTTTTACGCTATGGAGAAAATCGTCGAGATGAGAGGTTTTACTTAGTTCTACCAACCTCTCTATCACATGTTCAAAGCTTTTACGTTATGACCGCGAGTCGGCAAACTTTTAAGATTTGACCCAACAGTGTGTGCGGCGGGGCGAGTGGGATACGCATTTTTCATGTATTGCTGTTTCTCTGAGTGGAGGTTTTCGGCAAATCCTGGCTGAAAAGCACACTTAGTACTACTAGTTAGTATTTTACGCTTGTATCGGTGTGATACAGCACCCGCTTCTACTTCCCTCCTTGATTTAATAAATGCTGTCCATTGCTTCCTCCAAGTCAGTGTCATTACGCCACTAAATAATTTGCTCTTGTGTGCGAGCAAGGATCGCAAACACATCTACGCTGTCATTTGCTTAAAGTTTAGCGAATTCTTACTCAAAATACAGACTCGCTCGCTCACGGAATCATAGCTAGCGCTGCACGGACAACCGTTACGCGAGACGCGTCCTGGAAATGACGGCAACGAAATTGCGCATGTTTGCGCAAGGCGCGCGGGCTTGTTTGGCCAAGCGTGACGTTATGCCAGTTCATATCTTAAATATGACCGCACTTTCTGCACGAAAAACATAACGGAACGCAGACAATTACTATACTGATGTGCTATTTATCTATTATTTACGGTATTCCCAATAGATATTGCGCCTACGCTTCTTTTTTTTTTTTTCTTTTTTAATTTTATTTCTTAAGCATTATGTGGCGTGAGAAAATTGTTACGACGGATTTTATTGCCGCTTCAACACATGCTCAATGGCTCTTTGCTATGCTACGTGGTGCGATTTATTGGCACTCAGGTTAGACAATTTGGGTATTATTTACGTGTATTTGAAAAACAAGTGGAGCCATTTTAGAGGAAATCGCCGACACAAATTCCGAGCCGCAATTATATTATTATTATCATCATCATATCATCATCATCAATTCATTATTCAATTTTTAATTCTGTGGCATTGCAGGATTAATTTTTTATTTATTCGAATAACATATTTTAAACAACGTTGCTGTTCTTGGTAACCCTTTGCTGATTCTATACCTTAGGCATACACGCGTTTCTTTTGTAGTTACGACTGTTTAGTATCACTATCTGCTTCGACTGAGTAAAAACCTAGGCCGATAGTTCAGGCCTTTGGGTTCAGTAGATGAGTAGGTGCGTTACATATAACTTTTTGTAATTGCATAGTCGACATCGAATATCATAATTACCAGGAGTGAATAATAGAGTCTATAATAATCTCGATTATTCACTCCTGATAATGATCAAATACTAAATATTCCACCATTCTTTCTTATATTCTAAGTGGATCGTATCACGTTATGCATAATTGCGGCTCTTACATTTCGTTACATCACGAACAATTGCGCAATGAAGAAAATATTTAAGGCGGAAAGATTGTGTGCACGTTATGGTTGTCCCCATTGCCCGTCATTACTTCGGCTACACATAAGAAAAACCTCCAGGGTCGTATGCCCGTACAGCCATCGTTTGGCCGCAGCTGAGTT